ACAAAAATAAGCCTAGGCACTTTTAGTCATCTGATCTTCGACAAAGAAGCCAAAAACAGCACTGGAGAAAAAAGTCTCTTTAATAAATGACATGGGGTAAATTGTCATCCACATGCAGAAGAATGAACCTACATCCACATGTACCTCCCTATGCTAAAATCAAATCAAAATACATCAAAGACCTAGACATAAAAACAGAAACACTAACTGCTAGGAGATAAAACAGGCAGAAGTCTTGAATTCTTAGAAAAAGACTTTAAACAGAACCCAAATTGTACAGTAACACCAACAGCCAGCAAAAGGGATTATATCAAGTTAAAAAACTAATGTACAGCAAAGGAAACAAACGAGTAAGGAGAAAACCTATAGAAAACCAAATTTTCCAGGATAGAAGACAAATGTCTAGAATATATAAAGGCACACATAAAATTAGACCCCACAAAAAAAAAAATAAATAAATAAAAAGACCCACTCAGAAACTGGGCCACTGACATGAATAGACACTTTTCAATAGAAGTACAGCAATACAAATAGACTATGAATACACGAAAAACTGCTCAGGCTCTCTGCCCACCAGAGAAATGCAAACACTGAAGTTCTGTCTTATCCTAGAAACAATGGCAATTATCAAGAAGTCAACAATTGTTGGGAAGATTGTACGGAAGAGGAACACGTCTATATTGTGACGAGCATGTAAACTCACCAATCATTACAGAAATACAATCACTACAGAAATCACTATGGTTGGGGCCAGGGAGATGGCTCAGTAGAATAAGTGCTTCCCTGGCAAGCACAAAGGTCTGAGTTCAATCCCTGGATCCACAAAAAAAAAAAAAAAAAAAAATCAGTATGGCAATTCCACAAGAAATAAAAAGTCCATGTTACCTACCATTCCTCTTTTGGGTATCTTTGTAAGAGTCAAAGACATCATATTACAGTTATACATGTATACCCATGTTTATATATATATTTTTCAGGTATGTCCATGTTTATAGTAGTACAACTTACAATACTGGTAGCAGAATCTTGGAAGTAGCCTGTATGTCTACCAACAGATGAGTAGATTTATGAAACGTGCTACTATGTATACACAATGGAGTACTCCTCACCCACGCAAAAAGGGAAAAGCGGAGTCATTTGTAAAAAAATGGATGCACTTTAACTCCATAAAGCTAAGTGAAATAAATCAAACACTGGTTAAATATCATAGTTTTTCTTGTATGAGAAGCCTAAGATGTAAATAAAAGCGCAAAATTAAGATGATAGTAAACAGACTCTGAGATGGGAGTCTTGGAATGGGGGAAGATAGGAAAGTGTAAAAAAGAACTAAAAAGGATCAAGATGTACTGCGCATGCCTACAATTACCCATGATTAATACATTTATTATGTACTGCAAATATACGCCAATAATTAAAAAAAAAAGGAAGGGAAGTTAGCAAGCATTAAGATCCACTGTCCATAAAGAAAAATCACAAGCTGGGGACAGTGTCACACACTTCTAATCCCAGACTTCTGGGAGCCTCAAGCAGGAGCATCACAAATTCAAGCCTAGCTTAGCCAATTAGTAAGAGCGTGTCTCAAAAAGATAAGAAAGGGTTGAGGACAGCGCTTAGTAAGAAGACCCTCAATACCACCACAAAAAGAAAGAAAAAACACTGATAGGGCCAGTGAGGTAGCTCAGCGGTCTAAAGCACCTACTAAGGCAAGTTTAGGCAATAGCAAGGACCACAGTACACAGTATGATCTCTGGCACTGCATGCCATGCCAGCCCCACCTCCAGGGCAGACTGAGCCAGCCCTCCCCCACCCAAAAAAACA